TTATCTTCCTAATCATGATTAACTATCTTTTCTTCATAGATTTGATGGTTTTCACCATGATTAGTGAGTAGTTTGCTTTAGGTTTGAGATTAGGGCAGATGGGGTGATTTTAGTGATTGTTTAGGTTGATTAGGGCTTAGATCTTCTCATTCCCTTTCTTATATGATTGTGCTTAATGCTTAGTACCTCTTTGTTGGAGAAGTTGATTTTAGGTTTTTCACATGCACACCAAGTGTTTGATGAAATTCTTGAATGAAGTTCAATGCTTGAAAATGGTTTTTAGATAATCATGAGTCTTTGCATCTATCATTTTCTGCTTGAATGTGCTTATTGCTTAGTACCATATTGATGAGAAATTGCCTTTAGACATTGATTATGCATGAGAATGTGAGTTGATCTTTGATATATCATATAAGAGATTAGTAAATCTAGCCTAAGAGATTAGATGTCTAGCATGCTAATTGGTTTTATGGAACTTGATCTTAATGCTTGATGATTATGTGTTAGAGTAAAGAGATTTATCTTGAATATGTGATTAGAAAAGGGATTAATGCCAAGAGATTGGATTAGTCTATATTAGTGTTCCTTACCTAAGGTTGAGTGTTTAGAATTGCTTGTTTTGATCACCCAAGACATGAACATGAATCACCATATCACCATTGCCTTGATCTTGAACCATCTCTTAATCTTTGAAGTCTAGTTTTACTCTGTTTTGTTTAGATTTTACTCTGTTCTTACTATGTTTCTCTTTGCCATTACTGCTCTTTGCTTGCTTTCCTTTGCTTTCTTTTACTTCTTTGCTTGATCATTTAGGTTGTTAGACTTCAAAACCATCTTTGCTTGCTTGAATTAAGATCTCTACTGCATTCTTACTGTTTCATTCTCCCCTTTTGGATTGATAATACCTTATGCTATACTACAACTGATTAGTACAAGCTTGGGTAATTGACAACAAGAACCTAAAAATCCTTGTATCAGAGATCCTTATCAAGTCAGTGGCTACAGCGATTCCGACGTATACTATGTCATGCTTCAGGTTACCAAAAACATTAACTACAAAGCTAACTAGTACAGTGGCTAACTTTTTCTGGAGTACGAATGGTCAGGGCAGTGGTATGCATTGGCTAGCATGGAATAAATTTTGCAAACATAAAGTGGAAGGGGGACTGGGATTTCGGGTAATAGAGGATTTCAACACGGCCCTTCTTGCAAAACAACTCTGGAGACTGATTGATTATCCAGAATCTCTTTTCGCAAAGGTTTTCAAGGGACGCTATTATAGAAATGGTACACCGCTAGACCTAATAAGTTCTTACTCTGCATCGTATGGGTGGAAGAGTATCACATCCGTTCGATCTTTGGTACATAAATGGATCATCAAAAGAATTACCTCCGGTCATTCCATCTCTGTATGGAATGACGCATGGATTCCCGACTCACACCCGAGATCAGCAATATGTAAAGGCTATAACCTTTACCCTGACCTAACGGTCAATCAGTTGATTGATCACAATACTACTTTGTGGAATGTTCCTCTTCTTCACCAATTAGTGGTTGCTGAGGATATTCCGATTATTACGGGGTTGCCTACCAATAGGCACCAGAGACTGGATACCATGTGTTGGAGTTTTACAAAAAGCGGGTGTTATACGGTAAAATTGGGGTACCATACGGAACAGCATATAGCACATCTACACAGTGCTACACAATCGTATGTACCATATGTAAGTAAATTACAGGCACAAGTATGGTCAGTTATGTCCACCAAAGCTGAAACACTTTTTATGGTAAGCCATCTCAGGCTGCCTGGCGGTCACTGACCACCTAAGGACCAGAAGTATCAATTGCGATCCTCAATGTACTCGATGTGGGGCAGACCATGAGACGATCAACCATACACTTTTTGAATGTCCCCCGGCCATTCAAGTATGGGCGTTGTCAGTCAGCCCCACACCTTCAGATGGGTTCCCGACAAACGCGTTGTATCCCAATATGGCAACACTGTTCTAGCACCTGCCAAACCATGAAGACATGAAAGTATACCCATGGTTACTATGGTACATTTGGAAAATGCGAAATGATAAGATATTTTCGACATCGATCGAAACCCACAGGAGGTAGTAAGGCTTGCCACAGTAGAGGCAAAAGCTTGGGAGGAAGCACATACCGATATCATGGATAGGGGTGGGCGTTTGGATAACCCGGACCCGATCGGGTCGGTTCTTTTGGGTACCGGATTTTCGGGTATAAAGCTGAAGACCCCAATCGGGTATTTCTAATTTTTGGATAGGGTTCGGGTAGTTATAGTTCGGGTTCAGGTCAGTTCTTACATTATATATAAAAACCGATATTGATCCAAAAAATTTCGGTTACAAACGAAGCCGTTTTGGTTTTCGAGTGTTTCGGTTATATGTATCCGAATTGTAACCAAACTTGCTCAAAAATATCCGAAGCACACAAATAATATCTGAAATCTAAGAAAATGAAAGGTCAAAATAAATACTAAAATCAGTATCAAAGTATGATTCAACCATTCATACAACCACATAAAAAACCATGAAAGAAAAAAATCCCAAATAAGAGTTTTAAAAATAGAAATAAAACTCAAAGCTCAAATAGAATATGAAAAGGTTATTAAAATTTGCAAATGAAGAAATCCAAAGCACCTTCTTCATTTTCCTGTAACATCAAAATTATATTACATCAGAAATAATAATAAGCAAACTATGAATGTAATATGACAAAAACTGATAAAATAATAGAAAAAATAATTTGTTACCTTAAACCCAATTTGTCAAATGATTCACTTCATTCTTCTCTTACACCCTAAACTTGCGAGCTTCAATAGAGTCAAGCTTTTTTCTATTCTTAATCCGCGTTAAGCGCTTTACAAACAAGATACTACAAACACTGACTAAGAATTGCAGTGAAGACAAGATACTATATAGACAAGACTCTTCCATGTTTTAGATCGAGAGGCTATGGCATAAATAGAAACACACGATGTATACACTATATGCTCAATTGTTATAACGTAAAAACAGAGCATCAAACTTAAATAGCCACTTTAGTGAGAGAATTGATCGATCACTCTCGTGTACACTCTATGCTCAATATCAGATGTTAATCGTGAAATAAAAGCTTCAAAAACTATCTCAGATGTTAATCGTGAATGTTAGTCCTTAATTCGGATGAGTTTAAAAAGAATGAATATCCTCTCCAAACAAGATATAACGTAAAAACAGAGCATCATACATCAAACGCCACTTTGTTTTTTTTCAGTCAATGGAGTAAGTATCATACATCAAACTCAATGACGAAGCTAATCAAACTAAATGACAGAAACGATTTCTGGGCTATACATAACTCACAATCAGTTATGAAAATCAGTAAATCACAATCGAAAGCAGAAGAAGACGAAGAACGAAGAAGATGAAAGACTATTAAAAACCGGAAATCACAAAAAGAAGAAAACAAAGAAGAAGATGGTGTACCTGAGATTGATTTCGCGATATCTCAGAAGGAGGAGAAACAGAAGATTGGTGATTTAGGAATTCCAGATTGAATTTGGAGATTTAGAAATTAGGATATTGGTTTGATCCGAGAATATCTCTAAGAGATTCAACAGGAAAGTCAAAGGAAGTGGAAATCGTGATTTCCATAGTCGAAGGATGTATAATTCCAGTTGCTTCGGGTGTTCAATCGAATTTCGAGTATAACCGAACCGAACCCGGACCCGAACCATAACCAGCTTAAGATCCAATCGGTTATTGAAGCAATACGGGGTCGGTTCGGTTCGGATTTTTTTGGGTCAGTTTAGTTCGGATTTTCGGGTTTTGTTCAACATGCCCACCCCTAATCACGAAAGTGACTCCGTGCGTGACACAAGAACTAAAGGATTATAGACGTACTTTGACATGCCATACAGATGGCTAATGGAAACAATCTAGCCCATACTCAGGATTGAGATGATTTTGTCAAGGAAATGGAGTACATGATATTCTAATTGGTGCAAAAAGTGTCTGTCGAAGCACATCTGCTCTACATTCAGAATTAGAGGCTCTGATATGGGCAATGCATAGTATGCTTGATGCAAGAAGAATGGAGATGACCTTTCTCACAGACTGTTCCAAATTGGTGAAGATGGTGTATAACCCAACAGAGTGGCCAGCATTCGCAATACATCTGGACGAATATGAGACTAGCAAAAAAAAACTTGTTTTTTTTTCGTTAGCTCACATGAATCTAGCACGGAGTGCTCGTTCAAACCCTCACCAACTAGAAAATGTAAACTCAATTCCACCAACTTCGCTCACTGAGTCGTGAGGCAAAAAAAGAAAAAAAAAGGTTACTGTATTTGGGTCGGATTAAATTCTATTGAATTAGGATTTTAATCGGTTTGATATTGATTGCAGCTGGTTTAGTATTGGTTCATTCACCGTAATCGAAAATTTCAAACCTATGGAGAAATTGGTTTTGAACTTTCAAATAGTGTGAAATTAGATTTCGATTGAGATGCAATCGAAACAGGGATAAAATCTGTATGCACACAGTACTATATGATAGTTATGGGAAATAGTTCGTCACTCTTTATTTTAATTAAAAAACAAAGCAAACCGACTTTTTGAACTGGACCACCAAATTTTGCATACAAAGAAGAGATCGCCTACCAAATTTTATTACGGAAAACATTCTAAAATTCTAAAACCGAGATAGACACAACATTGTTACACATTAAGATGTCAAGATAATGATATCCTATCATTATTATTAACGCTAAAATTGGATTGATCACCTAACTTATCATGGACATTTTCTCAGCCTCCCATAGTCTCATGTATCAGGCAAGTCTCATCAATTTGAGCATCAACCAGTTTTTTAATTCTAGGTGTGATGCATCGTTAAATACAAAAATATATATATTACAAAATCAAAGAGTGGTATGTCTTTCACAAGTTATTTTACGTATCATTTCAGGTTTTTGCGGGGGAGAGGAGAGATTAGCCTTCAAGAATTTGTTTTCTCTCGACATCCTCAATGAATTGTTTGTTTAGATGGTAGCCTTTTGTAGCATTTTGAGTCTCATTCTCTCCCTTACATCGCAGCAACTGCAACTGAAGACTCCTCAGAACCTCATTTAGCCTCTGGATATGTCTCTCTTGCGACATGATTATCTGTAAAAACAAGGTGAATATCGCAGTTAGCCTAATCGTTCTACCTAAACCTTATCACAATTGCATTGAAGTCTAAATGATACTTGTGATCCTACACAGTCTTAATCCACAGAAATAAAAGATAGCCTCAAGATGGATAAGCAAGGGAAGTTATAGATTACTAAGAGAGGAAATTGGTAAAGAATACATTGACGTCAAGACTTATTCATGTGCTACTGCTCAAAGTTCCTCATGAGTCTTTTCTCACAGATTTACAGTAAGCATCAGAGAAAACCCATTAAGCGATCAAAGCAAACAAGTGAACACAACTTTAAGAATTCTTAGAAATCTAATCCAAGAAAACGTTTAAAATCGCAGAAAGTCCCATAAAAGATGATCAATGCACAGAATAAAGCCGATTCAAACAAATATTAGATACCTGTTAAGTCTGTATACCCGAATCTCTGTGTAAACTCTCTCCAATTGTATATAAGAAATATAAACGATGCTTAAAGAACAGAAGTGTCCAAAACTTCCCGCAAATCAAACGTATCTACGATCTTACGAATGATCGTAGCCTAATCAAGACATGTTTTAAGACTGTCAAAACAAACATATGAATCTTAAGTATGACGCTAAGCAACAGATAGATGAAGGTGAAGCTCAATCATCAGGAAACTAAAAGATAACCACCATACACACACACACCTCCTCTGATGTTTACATGTAGGCCATAAGGTCACTATCCCAAAACTATCTAAAGTATCTTGCATACTATCCCAAAACTAAGCTCGTATTTTGAAGGAAACACACAGAGAAATGATTGAAGAGTTTAGAATCAGTACCTTCTCTTTCACAGCTTCTTCTCTATCTGAAATTTGCTGCTGTTTCTGTGACGAGGTGGTAGCTGCATCAAGTTCAACAAAAGGTTGTCTCCATTCAAACTGAGAGGTGACTATAAGTATAATTAGTAAGAAGACGAGCAGGATCGGTTTCGACATTGCCATTTCAGTTTGCTTAAAACACCTGTTCCCAAAAACATCAAAGATAAATTAGCCAATTCATGATCTTATACAAGAGATTCACTAAGCAATATATTCAATTTGCATTCTCTTCACCTGAATTTCGTTATGAGTTTCTATAATCTGCAACTAATAAAGTAAATCAAATAGCACACTGATAAGACCTACCCAGATAAGGCTAAGAGCGATGATGACGCATCAACCTCTAAAAAGCAAAGTTCCAATTTTTATTGCTAACCCTTTTCCTCTAAACCCCCAGTAGAGAAAAACCAACGAGTCGATTAAGATGATCTTGAACTTACAGATCGAATTTGACCAGAGGAATATCCAAACATCATGATCGACCTCTCTAGGGTTTTCTGTCGAGGATGCAGAATTGAACGAGATTTGTTCAAAATCGATTCGAGATCAAATATAATGACGGCGGAATCAGAAACACCATATGAGTTTGTGTTCAGTGGCGAGCAAAGGAAATGCAAAGCTGAGGGTTTTAATCGATGAGAATGCGCAAAAGTTTTCCTGTGCAAAAGAAAGAGGATTAATGTTTCAGGTTACTCCACAATTTCTCCTTTTCTGCTAAAAATGTTCCAATATATCTTATTACTTGTTCGCAATTTAGCTTTACTTTTAAAATGGCTCAAGCACACCCAGTCCTCTGGCTTTGAGTTTAGTAAACTGCTTTCTCTTTAAATTCTACGACAAAACATATAACATATATTAAACAGTAAATATTAGTGGCTTATGTGTCATTACACCATCTCTAATGTGTTCATTTATTTTAAAATAAAGAAACTATAAAATAGAGGTGCCCTTCTCTCCAATGTGTTCCACTATTTTTTCTTCTAAAAATGAATATTTTAAAAATATTCTCTTTATAATTTATTATTAACGCATTTTTTCATAAAATTCATAAATTAACCTCATTTATATTTTTGTTTACAAAAATTTCTATAATTAATAAAAATATATTAAAATTAAACATTTATTTCATAAAACAAAATCTAAAATGAAAAAAAACTTGTTAATTTAACAACAACAGTTATCAACACCTTAGAAGAAGAAAATAAGCAATTTTTGGAGCAATTAAAGAAGTCAAGCGTACAAAGACAAGAATATTTAGAGATTCAAAAAAAAATTATGCTCTAAAAGAACTGAAAGAAGAAAACAAAATTTTATTTTGTGATTTGAGTTCCATACAAGATCCAAATATCCACTCATACATTCAAGCTGAACAAGCACGAATTTTACAAAAGCAAAGTGATCAACATCAAGATCAACAAGATCCTCCTCCATCTACTCCGCTGGATCTATATTTGAATGATGTCAGTGGATCAAGACACAAATTGCTAGAATATTAAATCACTATAGTATTTGTCATTTTTTATAATTTTCTGTAATTTAAAAAATTATTGTAATTTATCATTTTATTTATAATTTAGTTTGAAATAAATGATAATTTTCCAATTTATTTATATTATATGTTCACAAAATTTTCTCAAACCATAACAAAAATTATTAAATTTATTTATTTATTAGGTTTTTGTACAAAAACTGTATAATGTAACTTTATTGACGTATTATTGTACATGTGTATACTATATTGCTATTCATGTATATTATATTGCTATTCATGTTCATTTTTTTTTATCATGGATTAACCATTTTTATTTATAAATTATATAGTTAATTAAAATAAATAATGTTTTCTGTTTTTCTATAATAGTTATTGTCTGAAATGATGTTGATTTTATTAAAATTTATTAAAGTTATTCAATATTATATAGTTTAATTAAATTTATATGTTAGATATATGCCTATTTATTGGATATATACAAACTAGATTATGCAAATATTTAATTTAACTTTTATATTTGTCATATAAATAAAAGTAAAAAGATATAAAAGTTAACATACCAGTTTATAAATAAAAAAGTTTATCTCTATTATAGAGGAACAAATAGAGTTCTTCCAAATATAGAAGGAAAAATAGCAACCTCTATTTTATAGGTAAAAATAGAGGTGGATTGGAGAGAATTTTTCTCTAAACTCTATATTTTCCTCTAAAATAGAGGTAGATTGGAGATGCTCTTATCTCAGAATTTTGAATTTTTTAAATCTAAATAATGATTAAAAATTTAAATAATTTATTCTTGCAACCACACACACAATATTTCTTGCAACCAAACAAAAATTTCTCTAATTATTTATTTTTAATTGCATTTAATGTTTTAAAAAAGTTCAATTAATATTTATGTTTTCTGTATATAATTTAAACAATTCGATTTTAAATAAATATGACATAACATTTAAGTGAATCTTTATTTTTTTAAAGTATCTAACATATATTAAACACAAAGTATTAGCTTAGGTGTCATTATCACTTTTTCTAATATTTTTTATTGATTTATTTTTTGTGCTATCTTTATCACCAAACACTCTATTTTAAATTACTAAAATAAATTGAATTTAAATCAAACCAATCATAAATAATTTAATAATTTTATTGGTTTAGTAAATTAAATTAGTTACTTATTTTATTAATGGAAATAAAAATTATTTTCATGTTTTAGATCTACGAGTATTTATTGTTTTGCAACAGTTTTGATTTATATATTATACAAACGGAAAAAGAATATTATTTTGGAAACCTCTGACAAAAGTAAATGTAAATCTCACTATGTATAAATTTAAATTAAAAACAAAAATAACTAAATTTTCTCAAATCTCGACTGAACATTTTTAGATACCCAAATATTTTTCAAAACTTAATAAATTATAGAATATCTCTTAAATATTTTTATAAGTATTACCCCATACGAACGTGCCAGTAATAATCTTGTTACATTTAAAACTACAAATGGTTGTATATTTATAAATAAGTGATAATTCAATACATAATTAATATTGTATATTAATAATAATATTATATAAACATTTAACAATAAAATATAATAATAAATCAAATAAAAATGTTATAGATTCAGTAAAAATTGAAGATAAAAAAAGATTAACCAATGTTTTAAAATACTTTCTTAGATAAAAAGTATAAATATGATAACTAAAGAAACTCAAAAATATTAATATATATAATAATTAATTTAATTTTTATGACTGACCTGCACACATATGCTGGTATAAGTTTTTTCAATAAAAATATAATTAGTTGTAATATTTATGTATTGATTAATTTTATTATACATTATTTTTGTATATTTATGCAGTTTTAATGTTTAATAACAATTACACAAATGTTTCCTATTGTTTTATGCCTTTGGATACTGATTTATTTCAAAACTTTTTACTTTTTTCTAGCGTTTACAATAACATATAATTGTAAATAGAAAAGTTATATTAAATAATAATAAAGAATTATTATACTATGTTTTGAATGTTATTTATATTATGTTTTTTTCTTTTACACAATATAATTTTGCCAATATATATTTATAATGTATTGTTGAATTTGTTATAATCAAATATGTATATTTATGATGTAGATATGAGTTAGAAATAAGTTAATTGTAATATTTAGGTGTTGGTTAGTTTTTATGATATTTTTCGCAAACGTTATGTTTTTACATGATGCAGTTTTTGGCATTTAACAACAATCACAAATATTATTTCTGTTGGGCCGTAAAATATATACATGGCCCACGAGGGCCCAACGCGTAGGCAACAGACGTCGTGGGAACCAGAAGTGCATTACATGCGACGTACCTACTGAAAAGGACTGCAATGATGGCGGTTAGGAGAATGCGGGGCAGGTCGGCGACCCATTCCCTCTGACTACACGCATGGAGGAGTCCGGGAATGGTAATAATGATGGAAAAAGACGGAAGTTAGTACCCGATCCGGGAAGCCTGGAGGTCCGAACCCGGGAGCGACCCGGAACCAGGTATTTCTTATAAAACCCACCCCTCTCAACTGAGGGAGGAGGAGACATCTAGAACGATAACTTCATCTTATAGCTTCACTTTCAATAGCATATCACTACCCTAAAAGCCTTATCGGGATCCTTACGAACCGATAGAGCGACCTATACTCAGTCCTTTCGGTAGACTCAATACGCTTCGTCCAGTCCTGTGTTTCTTTCTGACTAGAGCGTCGGGCGTAATCGGGAGGGCAACCCCTTTTCTGTCACCCGAGTTCTCTTTCTTCTCCCTTGACGTTGCAGGCTAGCCCATCCCCCTAGAGTTCGAATCTTCCCTGCAGTATACGACGACCAATCAGATCCCTCCACGTGGCATTCCGAAATTTGCTCCCGAACAGTTGGCGCTAGAAGGAGGGGGGAAGAACAAGCTTAATGTCAATCGAAGGAAGCGATTCCCCGAGCCCACCGGAACAAGGCATCTGAGGGGACTACGCACGGGGTACTACCAGTCAGCCCCCCCGATGGCCACTCCATCCCCGACGTTCCGCCAAACGGCTCACGGAGCGGAACCATCAGTTAGAGCAACAGGCCAGGCGTGCAAGCACACCTCTAGGCCACGCCACCACGAGGCCCCTGGACGTCGATGGCCCAACGATCTCGGTGGGCCAGAACGCAACGCTCCGCCCCGGCCCATAGCACAGGGGACCGTTTGCGAGTTTCCCCCTTGCGGACGATACTGCAATGGCAGCCGCTCACGGAACTGCGGACGCAGATCACTCTGACTGCCTGGATGAAGCAGGAAGCCGTCGAGCCTCGGATGATGCCACAAAGCGAGCCTCGGGACAGATGGATCTAGACCGCCTCATCACTCAAAGGATGGCGGAGCACATGGTAAACATAGACATCCGACTGTCATTGATCCCAGGGCTACCCCCGCGAGTGATCCAAGCATCGAAGGAATCGTACAATAACTCCCCCTTCTCGGAGGACATCGCCAACATCGAAGTACCCAAGAAAGTCGGGTACCCAACGATGAAACCTTACGAGGGGACCACCGATCCCGAGGATCACATTGCTTAGTATAAATAGAGAATGTTCTCGGCATCGCCGCCGGCGTATATCAGGGAAGCGTGCCTATGCAAGGGGTTCGGCGTGACGCTCTCGGGGGCCGTCCTGCAATGGCTAATCAGCATCCCCAACAAGACAATAGACTCATTCATACAGCTGCACAACCTGTTCGTCCAGCAGTTCGTCAGCAGCCGGAAACCGGCCTTGGGCATGGGTCACTTGTTTAACGTAAGCCAAGGGACGGAGGAACACTCTGATCCTACGTGACTCGCTTCAACGCCGTCAGGGTAGAAATACCCGGCTGTCTCGAGATCACGGCGGCCCACACCTTCAGGAAGGGACTCCTGAAGGGCTCCAGGCTCTACAGAGATCTAACCAAAAACGAGTGCTCCACCATGG